CTGCCTTGAAAGCTTACTGAGAAACAGGAATTTATTGGGAAATAGCTTGTCAGAATTAACCTTTCCTCTATACCTTTTACAGTCTGCTTTAGTGACAGGTGTGCTTTTGTGATTACAGATATAAAGGTTTGAAACATATTTTTTTTGACAAACATAAGCAGCATATAATCAGTCTTTTTAAAAATTAGTTGGATTATTTGCATGCTTGAAGTGGAAATACTGGAGTAGTTAGTTTAGTTGGAACCTTAGATCTCACTAGGGTCCTATATCCAGAAAAATTATTTTGTTGTGTTCATACTCCCACATAAATTAGGCTGACTTGACTAACACCCACATTTTGCATATGGAAAATATTAGTTATTTATTTAATCTGACTGCAACAGTTTGATCAAGCTCTAGAGGAAGATCAGAATAATTTATTACTGAATAGTAATAAAAAGACATAAACTTCAGGAGGGTTGTGATTTTGTAACCAATTCATTTCTTCGTCATATGTGAAAATGACATATGTGAATGGAATATCATGAGCATTTAAAGTGCCAAGACCAGAAATTTAGTTTCTCTAAAAGTATATTAGTGTATGTAAAGGCTGATTTTATTTGTGTGAGGTTTTTTTTTTTTTTTTTTTTTTTTTTTTTCTGTCTCTCCTGTTTCCCTGAAAATTCATGCAATAACCTCCAGATAAGACAAATGTCGTATGTGGTAATTCTATTTTATTTGAAGATTATCATAAAGGAAGACTTAAAATGGTCTTTATTTTCATAAAGATCTTTTAAGGAGTACCATCATTTGATTTTTTTTGTCAATGGCAGAGCTGAGTAAACAACCATGTAGATGAATAGATCCCTTTGGTCTGATCTCAACTGTAACCTGCAAATTACAGCTTTCTAATCTTTGCTTAATGATACATACTGGCTTGATGTAAGTCATACCTCCAGGCCCAGAAGGCTCATACTGATTAATTTGGTTAGGGTGTATGCTGGGTGTATAAGAGGGGATTGTAAATTGTTAGACCCTCTGCCCTTGGGATATATCATGTTTTCATTCTGACATGTACTGTACAATATTACGCGTGTTTGTTGCTCCATTATTAATTCACTTTCCATCTGTTCAAAATGTGCTTGTACATAGTACTCAGCCTAGTGACCATAAGCAGACATTCTTTTAAAGCTTAACAGACCCTGTTGCCATCATTTAAAGTATGAGCAAAGAAGAAAATTGACACATGATTTCCACATCAGTGTGTGATATCCATGTTGAATTTCTAACCAGGTTTTATTTTTCATGCCTGTCTTTCTTCTGAGGTCAATATTTCACTGATTGTGTTAACAGTGGTTTTTGTTATGTGCATTTTATTTTATTTGGCTGACAATGTGTCATGACCTTCTGAGATTTGTGTTTCGTACATGTTAAAAGTAAAGTGTCAGACGACAGTTTATTCTTTCGTCTTTAATGTAGCTGCTTTCTTGCTATTTTCTGTGTTCCTTGTGAGAGAATAAAATTTTAGATCTGAGCCCTCTGCTTTTGTGTTCCTGGGGTCTACCCGAAAGACCCAACACTGAGGTGTAGTACAGCAGCTCAGTGCCTTACTTTTTATAGGGATTTAGACATTTTGACCTCTTCCTTCTCTCTAACGAAGGTTTCTAACCTTCGTGGAATTTATACAGTGAGAAACAAGTCAGTCATTTTTTTTTGTGCATGAGTGAAGAGCAATGAATAAAAAAAGAAATATCTTGGGGGCAAGCTTTTTCAGTGCATTGAATTATGCACTAAGATCAAATACCTACAGCTTTGGTAGAAAATGAAGGAATTCCATGGAAAAGAGTGGGCAGTAATGCTGAGTTAAGCTTCACAGAGGGCCAGAAAAGATGTATGTGGAGGACTGGAGGAGGATGTGAGAAACAGTAGTACAGTAGTGGTAAGTAAAGCTAGAATTATTTAGAAGATTTTAGAAAAAGTATACCAGGTTTTTGCCCTTTTCAGTTCATGCCTTTTAATGCTTCAGATCCCTTTGTTGTTCTCTTCCTTGGGGATTCAATTCACTTTTCCCCACCCACCCACTTCACACAGTAATACAGACCTTTTATAGCTAATTAGATATGCTTACTGGTAGATGAGTTTTGGAAAAAAGATTAATAGGTGGCTTGGGTCTGTTTATGTTTCTTATAATACATGAAAGCGATATTTTCTAGCTTTTCCTAGCAATCTCTTGCTATTACATTGTCTGTCCTCTGTTGTGCTGGTGGTCTCTGGGGTTCAAATTATAGATTAAATGAGCAAGATCAACACTAAAAACTGAACTGGCTCATGTTTCAAAGCATCTGAAAGAGGTGTTTCAACTTTCATGTCTGCTGATATGGAAAATTCTGTCATTTGAGCGTTTCCAGACTGCAGCTGGAGGGAAGACCCTTTGGTAGGGCTGCCTAGCACAATCAGGTACTCCGATGTCTCTCCTTTTGTAACCAGAAGTATCAGATGCAGCATACTGAACGATCACAAAATAGGCTAGGGAAGTGTGTCTGCTCTAACCTATTTTCTTGTCTTTGTTTATCAAGAAGCTTCAGAAAAGATTTTGAGATGTTGTCAGTTTACGGTGGACTCTTTCTTGGCTGTGTTAGCAGCTCCAAGTACCCCTCTAGGGGCTCCCTGAGCTGAATGTGTTGCTGGATATGTCTTTTGTCTGTCCAGCCTTTCTCTTCCTAACTCATTTACATATCACAGCTTGCTGTGGTGTAAAGTGGTCCACAGTTAGAGAAACCAGGAGATTTACTTCAAGTTTATATTTTTTAATTCTCAAGCCTCCTGTATCGACACTTTAAATATCAGAAAGTCCTCCAGATGCCTGCTGATAAAGAGCATACTTATCTCTCTAGTGAAAACTGAAGCCAAGGATGAATAACTTTTCTGAAGCTCTCAATAACTTCTTTAACTATTCCTTCACTTCTCCTTTCACACCTTGATGTTATTGCTCTCACTGTATTTCTGAGACACTTTCTGCTGGTATTCTAGAAATCCTTTTCCTGTTCATTTGTATACCTGCACTGTTACTTCACTTGCTTTTCTGTCTTGTTACATTTAATTTAACAAACTGCATTCTGATTTCTTCATTTGAGCATAAATGCTTTTTTTTTTTTTTTTTTTTTTTTTTTTTAATGTTTGGAAGTGAGGGGAGAAAGAGATCCTTACAGTGGTTTCATTAGAATGTACTCCCTCTGAGATTGTTCTGTCTTCATGCAGTCTGTTAGCACTTCATCCAGTAAGCTGCACTTTAACCAACTTCACCATTATATGTAGCTCATCTTCTGAAATACTTGTAGAAGATATTTTTCCTTATTTTCTCTCTATAAAGATGGGAATACACTCTGGACATTACAGAAGGGGTTTCCTGTAGTTCTCTGATGACCCATGTATAATGTGCTGTTTCTTGAAACTAAATCAGGTCCTCTTGTGGTCTTTCAGGCTATCTGCTCTGATAAACAGTCATACATAGTTTTAGAAAGTGTATGTTGTCTGCAGTATGTCAAGGTGCTGTGTGCACGCTGATAGGTGAAACCTTCTGCTGTTGCTGTGCTCTCTGCCTTCAAGTCTCTCTAACATTCCCTAAGGTTTTAGTAAGTGCCACAATTTGTGTTGGGCAGTTTACAGCTGTCTAACAGTAATACCTTTCCCGTTATGTATGCAGTTTTGATTCCTAAAGATTTATTTTGATAGCACTGAGTCAAATATGACTTTTAATCTAAACTATCATATTCCCATAAATATACTCAGCCCTGCAGTTTCTATCTCATACCTTGCTATGAGTGTCCAAAATGTATTTATTTTCTCCAAGTTTGGAAGATGTTTCTTGTACCTAAACTTGTATTTGATTTCTTGTACGTGTCTCAGAATCAGACATTCTGCTTCATGTGCTATTTTTTTAATAACTTAGCATTTTACAGAAAAATCCGGTGCTTAGCTAGGAATACATGTACAGGTTTTGTTACTTTGTACGTGAACTTTACAAACTTGTATGCGATTCTCTTTCTGGAACATGCCATTTTTTACTTCCTCTTGGGGTCACATTATTCTGAATATTGTGCTTTTCTTCTTCTACCAGTTTTCTTCAAGACTTTAGCTTAAAACTTCTGCCAGAGGATGGAGACCACATAAATGAATCTCACATACAGCAAGAATCTAACATTCAAAAGCGTGAGATTAGTTTTATGATGCAAGGGGCTCTGCAGAGTCTTATTTTGGTATAACGAAGGTTTGCTTCAGTTAATCAACCTGTTCATTAATTGACTAAGCTGAAATAAATCTCTCTTAAATTAAGGCACGTGCTTTTGGCAATGTTTAATTATATCAAATTGAGTTTGTACCTGAAGTTATATGGGTAAAAGTTTGCCCTGGAGGTGAGCCTAAAGTTACATTGAAATTGAATCTGAAATTAGTTGGCATGTGATAACTTTGACCTTTACCTTCACCTTCTAAGATGATATTGGAAGATGTGTAAGAAATGAAAAATAGTTCATTATACTTGAACAAGAAAGGGCAGGGAAAAGCGAATATTTCTAACTTCTTACTTTCTAAAATGATGGTTTTCCAATTGAAAAATTTTGCATATAGCACCAGGTCCTTGTTTTTGTTTATAGATATGACATGTTCAGAAGAATGTATTTCCTGCCCTATTGAAATAAAAGAGATCATTCATGCTGTTTTCTGTGATAGTGCACTCAGTCTCCACTTTTCTGTTATTCCCTGGGTATTACTGTTTTATAGTCAGTAAGTGAAATCCTGTTCTTCTGAAATCTATATGTAAGTACAAAAAAGCTAAGCATGGATCCAAGAATGACTTTTTTTTTTTTTTTTTTTTTTTTTTTTTTTTTTTTTTTAAATGGTCAGTACATTAGATGCATAATTATATTTTGTTAAGTAATTGTGCAAACAAAGATGAAGCTTTAAGACCTATTTGCTGTATTGTTTCAGTTGATTCACATAAGCCCTTTTTGGCACTATTTCAGGATAAAACAGGAATGGAACTTCATACTAGAGTGCCGGAAGAAAGGCATTCCTCAATCAAAATATCTCAAGAATGGCTTTGTAGACACTGACAAGAAGATTTTGGACACTTATGGAAAGGTTCCTCAGCTCCAGAAGAGGCATGTTTTGTCAGATGAAGCAAATAAAGAAAGAAACAAGTTTATTTTTCAGCTGTCTGGGGAGCAGTGGATGGTAAATATAATGGAAAATATGTTTCTATTGCTAAAGTGTTTGAGTAGCTTAGTGTTGTAACTTTTAATCCCCAAAACCTTTTTTTTTTTTTTTCCCAATGTGTATGAAATTGATGTTCTTACAGTGTTAGAAGTGACAGAAGAATTTCCAATCTTATCCTGAACTAGTGGTTTAGTTTTCAAATATGCTTATTTTAAATTTGTTACTGATACATATAATTTAGCACTCTCAAAAAGTTATAAGCAATCATATAGCAATAAGGTATCTGTCTCTGAAATTCACCAATGGGTGGAAAGAGATGAAAATAATATTCATCTTTGTTGGCTTGTTGATGTTTTCTACTACTCAGAGATCTGGCTTCTTGCTCTAATGGTGTGATAACATTTTTCTCAAGATCTGTTCAAATCAAAACTAATGTTAGCATTAATTCACAATGGTCTTGATAAAAAAGACACTTTTTACTTGCAGTTGTGTTTAAAGTGAAATAGCAGTTTGGAGGCAAACTCTGAATTAATGCTGTTTTGAAGTTCAGCAAAAGGTGGATTAGAGTTACTCTGAATTTTTCTAGAGTTAAAGGTTTGACTGAAATATATTTTGAATATACCCTACTTCATTAATGAGAAAGTGAAATTAGAATTTTGAATTTTGTGTAGTTTTTAATTTTGAAATATATTTTTTTGATTTTCATTACAAAATATACAAGCTAAAAAGTCAATTAATAAAAGGGTTAAATTTTACTAAATTATTTGTATTGACTTGAAAAGTAACTCTGTCCCAGATTTGATCTTGAATAGGAAGGTGTTTTCTTTTTTTCGCTTTATTTTTTTTTTTTTTCCTGGCTTTAGTTATTTTCTGAATAAACATAAAATAGATGAAATTCCTGGAAAATAGAAAACCCTGGTTCCCATTCAGTTCTAGTAAGGAGAGTACTTCTTTAACTGATGCCAATCATTCATGTGGTTAGGATTGGTTGCTGGACAACTATCAGGTCTCATCTTTCAAGAACCTTGTATATTGAAAATGTTGTTAAAGCTGTGTAGTCTTATACTGCACACTTTCCTGTGTTGTAAACTTTGAAGGTATGTTAGGAGGGAAAAAAGATATTACATCTCCTTAAGCACTGATATAGTAGCAACTGCAAATATTTTTAGTGCATCAAGGAGCAGAGAGCTATATAACTGAACTTTTCTGTTGTTTATTCTCTTCTGCCAAACCATTAATATTTTGCTTTGTCACCATAAACAATGCTTTTACATTAGGAGGCAAAATCAAACATACATAATTTGTTCTGTTTTCCAGAGCATTTAATTTCAATTTGACATGCTGAAAGATCATATTTAAGAGATATTAGTGTACTGTTATGTACATTATGCCACCTTGAGTAGTACACTTCTAACCAACATATACTTGAATTCTGTCTCCATATCATATGCTCACTGTGATCATATCACAAAACCACTGTGCCTCACTGTCCGGCTCTAGTCTGATTAAAGTGGTCTTCCTGTTTCAACAAGATACTGTGACATAGTTCATGTGTCTGCAGATAACGATAAAATCAAAGCTGCTTTATTTAGAGAAGGCCAGTGTTCTTTCAAAACTGAAGAACATTACCAGTCTCTAACAGTCCACTTGACAAAGTTCTGAAATATATTTCACATTATTGCAGAAATTCTGTAAAAATTATATTGCTTATACAAATCATAATTTTTTTTTTTTTTTTAGTCTCAACTGCTGCTTCTAAACCAAAGACAGATTGAAACATGACACCCTTTTCCCCTATTACCCTCTCAAAAAAAGCGCACTTAGACAAAATGAATTTGCAGACTATACAACCAAAGCTGCACAGTCTGTTAATTTGCATGTGAAAACATCCGTGGACATGGGAGAGTTTTCTCAGAGAAGCTTGTGTTAAGTAGCTGGCAGCTGTAGTATCAATTGTGGTTTAGTTTTTGTAATGTGTTTTGCACAGAAACACATTTATAAGTTCAAAGTTTGGATGATCAAGCACTCAGACACTAGGAGAAGTCAGAGCTGGGATTGCTTGTGCAGTTTTAGAGTCACGTAACCGGCTTGGTTTGCTGTTGGCTGGACTTTTAATGTTGGCAGCAGCTAACAGCACAGCCCTGTGAAGTGTCCATTTGGGAACTAGCTGCTGAATCCTCTATCTCACTTGCTTTTAGCTGATAAGATTTCTATTATGTTTCCCCTTTCCTCTCATCAATGAAGCAGTGATAGATCTTTTAGACAGTTGGTAGCTAAATCTGAGTATGTTGCTGGTACGACTTACAGATTTAATTTTGAGAACTGGGCTTGCTTCTGGGCTGTACTGGTTCTCTTTCTGGATGCTGTGAAGTAAAACCTCACAGAAGGGTAATCCCCACCTCAGGGATTTGACAAGATCAAAGCAAGTGGCTTTACCACATCCTTCCAATAGGTCTCAATGTAAGGACTCTTGCTGGAAACTTCAGCAGCAAATGAGCTTAGTCCACAAATCAGCAAATCATGTTATTTGCAATGTTGCACTCAAATAGAATGGCGGCTTGGCTGGGCACTAATCAATGCCTAGGCTGTCTAGATGGTAAAAATGTACACACATTACAAATATGCTATTAGCTCATGCTCCATATCTATACAGCATAACAGTGAATCTGGCCTAGTGATTCTGCACTGTTGAGTATGAGGTTAAAAATGGGTTTTGTAAAATACTCCACCATATACTGGGATAGTTTGGACAATTATTTTGAAAATCACCTGGATAATGCTCTTTTGAAAATCATCTCGGATCTCCTTCTGAGAACATTCGTAAGGAAGAAAATCAAAGCAGATCACACATTTTGAATTCCTAATAGAAATCCTTCCTTCAGGATCTCTGTGTTACTTTTTTTCCCACCTCTCAAATGTAATTGAAATTATAAGGTATTTTTCATTAAGTGGAGATCCACTGTTCCTTATACTTGTAAAGTAATAATTTAAAAATATCTGAGGAAAGATGAAGATCATACAAAGAATATTAGGTTAGACAAATACATAGAGTACTAGCTCTGAGAGTGGGGCTTGATTCTTACACTATATAAATTCTGAGGAATTTTATTCTGTCTATGCAAGTTCATAATTCCTTGTGGATCCTTGATTCTTACTAGTTATTATTCACTTTTAGGCTAATATTTTGAGATGGGCAGTTTGAGCCTGTTGCATTTAAGGTAATGAATTAAACTGGTATGAGATGAATCCCCTTGTATTCTAGCCAGTCCTCAGAGATTAGAAGTGCCAGGGGTGGCTGGATGTGGGAAAGAAAAATGTGGAACAGCTGGATTTATCTCTTAATAGCTATGCCAATTAGGGCTGTGACTATAGGCGTGACACGAGATACACAAACAGCCCGTATGCTGTAGGTCCGGTTGCATTCAAGAGAAGCAGTCAGGTTCACAAAGAGTATGGTTTATTCTTAGGCAACATCTACAGATTCTTTGAGAATGCCTTTGAAAAATGCACAAACTGTATGTTAGCTATATAGCACTACACACACACACACACACACACACACACACACAGAGCTGCAATCACACACACTTAATTCCTGGGTACTCACTTGGTGAAGCCAAGGGCCCAAATCTTACCAAAAGGCATCCCTTCTTGGTGGGGGCAGATGAGGAGCACAAACCCAATCATCTCTCCCTCTGATTTGGTGTTGGATTATTGTCCCTCCAAGTTAGATACAAACTCGGGGTTGTGTTTATCATAGCATGTATGTGTGAGTGGGTGTGACTGTGGTCAAGCCATTGCTTCTTGAGTAATGACACAGCACATTCCTTGGTGCAGAGTGTGCGCTGGTTTTTTTGGGAAAAGAGGAAGACTGAGAGATAAGGTCTGCAGAGTACTGCAAAGCAGTCCTTGGGAGAATCACAGAATCATGGAATTGTCTAGGTTGGAAAAGACCTTGAAGATTATCTAGTCCAGCCATCAACACAACATTGACAGTTCCCAACTACACCATATCCCTCAGCGCTATGTTGACCCGACTCTTAAACACCTCCAGGGATGGGGACTCCCAACACCTCCCTGGGCAGCCCAATCCAATGCCTAAAAACCCCTTCTGGAAAGAAATGCTTCCTCATATCCAGCCTAAACTATCCCTGACACAACTTGAGGCCATTCCCTTTTGTATTATTGCTTGTTACTTGCTTAAAGAGACTCATCCCCAGCTCTCTGCAATCTTCTTTCAGGGAGCTGTAGAGGGCGATGAGGTCTCCCCTCAGCCTCCTCTTCTCCAGACTAAACACCCCCAGTTCCCTCAGCTGCTCCCCATCAGACCTGTGCTCCAGACCCTGCACCAGCTTCGTTGCCCTTCTCTGGACACGCTCGAGTCATTCAATGTCCTTTTTGGAGTGAGGGGCCCAAAACTGAACACAGGAATCGAGGGGCAGCCTCCCCAGTGCTGAGTACGGGGGTCAGATCCCTTCCCTGTCCCTGCTGGCCACGCTATTGCTGACACAAGCCAGGATGCCATTGGCCTTCTTGGCCCCCTGGGCACACTGCTGGCTCCTGTTCAGCCGGCTGTCAATCAGCACCCCCAGGTCCCTCTCTGACTGGCAGCTCTCCAGCCACTCCTCCCCAAGCCTGTAGTGCTGCTGGGGGTTGTTGTGGCCCAAGGGCAGCCCCCGGCATTTAGCCTTATGGAAACTCCTCCAGTTGGCCTCAGCCCATGGCTCCAGCCTGTCCAGGTCTCTCTGCAGAGCCTCCCTACCCTCGAGCAGATCAACACTCCCACCCAACTTGGGGTCATCTGCAAACTGACTGAGGGTGCACTCGATCCCCTTGTCTAGATCATCAATAAAGATGTTAAACAGAAGTGGCCCCAACACCGAGCCCTGGGGGACACCACTCGTGACTGGGCACCAACGGGATTTAACTCCTTTCACCACAACTCTTTGGGCACACCCATCCAGCCAGTTTTTTACCCAGCAACGTGTGTGCCCATCCAAGCCTCAAGCAGCCAGTTT